TGCAAATCCCAATTGGCCAGAAATTACTTCAGCATTATTACCATATCAAAAACCTATTGATCGTCCTGATTTAATTGCCCGTGTTTTTGAGTTAAAAAGAAAGTGTTTGATGAAGGAGATAGAAACAAATAAAGTGTTTGGAAATAAAGTTGCACATGTTTTTACAATTGAATTCCAAAAACGAGGCCTACCACATATGCATGCGCTTCTCTTTCTTAAAGGTCCAGACAAAATTCGAACATGTGCTCAAGTAGACAAATTAGTTTGTGCAGAATTTCCAGATCCAAAAGATGATCCTACACTTTTTGAAACTGTCAAGTGTTGCATGGTACATGGACCATGTGGTGCTCGAAATCCCCAAGCACCATGTATGGAAAATGGTAGATGTACTAAGAAATACCCTCGAGCCTTTGTAGAATCAACAACTATGGACCAAGATAGATATCCAATCTATCGTCATCGCAATAGTGGTCAAGTATATACTGTGAGAGGACAGGAAGTTGATAATAGGGATGTGGTACCATACAATGGATATCTTTCTAAACGGTTCAATTGTCATATAAATGTAGAAGTTTGTGCTGGAGTGAGATGTGTTAAGTATATACATAAGTATATTTACAAGGGTTATGATCGCACAACAATGGTTTTGGGATTGATTAATGAGATCCAACAATATCTTGATGCAAGGTATATTGGACCACCAGAAGCTGCTTGGCGAATATTTGGTCATCATTTGCATACAGAGATGCCAACAGTTGTTCGCTTGACACTTCATCTACCTGGAATGCATCGTGTTCTTTTCAATCCTAATGACTCATTGGAAATGATTCTTTCTAGAGCTACACAACAAAAATCGACTCTTACTGGCTTTTTTGATTATTGTGCTTCCAATGAAAATGAATGCCAATTCACTTACCAAGAATTTCTGCAACATTTTGTTTGGCTCAAGTCAGAACATAGATGGAAACCAAGAGAACATGGATATGCAATTGGTAGAATGTACTTTGCTAGCCCTAACTGTGGTAAAAGATTTTATCTGCGTTTGTTGTTAACTGTTGTCAAAGGGCCAAGATCGTTTCAATGTTTACGTACAGTTAACAATGTTTTGCATGAGACGTTTAAATCAGCATGTGTTGCCAGAGGACTCTTAGAAGATGATGAAGAATGGATACAGTGCTTGAAAGAGGCTGCAGTTATGAAAGCCGGATATCAATTGAGGAGATTGTTTTGTATTATTCTGACCCAATGTTTTCCACTGCAACCACATGCGTTATGGAATCAATTTTCAATGCATATCTGTGATGATCTTGCACATAAGCTTCGTACATTGTTTGCGATTTCTAACCCAACTGAGGCTCAAATTGAAGATTATGGTTTGTATCTTTTGAATCAAATGCTTCAAGAATCAGGAAAGAGTTTAATTGACTTCCCGCCCATGCCACAACCTACAGCAAATTGGAGTGCAACAGTTGGTAACCGATTGATATTCGAACATCAACAACTACATAATGAGGCACAACAGACAGATGTGCAAATTACTATTGATCGCCTCAATAATGGACAACGAACTGCTTATAACGCAATCACCTCTTCAGTCTTTGAAAGTAAAGGGACTATTTTCTTTTTGAATGGCGGTGCTGGAACGGGGAAAACATTTTTGTACAATACGATTGCATTAAAATGTCGCAGCCTTAGCCATATTGTTGTTGCCGTGGCTTCATCTGGAATTGCATCATTGCTATTAGTAGGAGGTCGCACTGCACATTCAACATTTTCCATTCATTGGATGTCTTGGAAAATTCAGTTTGTGGGTTTAGCAAGCAATCATTACAGGCTGAATTGTTTAGAGAAACAAAACTCATAATTTGGGATGAAGTTCCTATGCAACATAGACATTGTGTTAAGGCGGTTGATCGCACACTTCGAGATATTTGTGATTGTGAAAAGCCATTTGGGGGTATCACTGTTGTTCTTGGTGGAGACTTTCGACAAATCTTACCAGTTATAACCAAAGGAGTTCGTGAGCAAATTGTGAATGCATCATTGAGACACTCTGTTTTGTGGAAGGATCTACATGTTTTATCTTTAGATTTGAATATGCGCTTGAATCATGCAAACCTTGGAAATGCTATTTTTGCAAAATTCTTGACGGAGGTAATACTCATTCGAACTTTGATTATACCATTTAAAGATACTTTGATTACACCATTTTTTAAAATTTATTTTATTTTATTTATTAGGTTGGAACCAATCCGCAAGAAATCATTAAAATTCCATCAACAATACACAGATGCCAGGATCTAAAGGAATTACTTTCAGCAGTTTATCCACAATTAGATGTGGCAGATACATCAACCCCATCATTCTTAACGGAACGTACAATTCTTTCTGCACGAAATGATGATGTCAGTGCTATCAATATTGCTGCGTTGAATATTTTTTCAGGGAATACATATACGTATCTTGCTGCAGATAAGATGGCTGAAGATGATGAAATTGATCCTTCCATTACAAACAGATATCCTAATGAGTTTTTAAATTCATTGGATCTTCCTGGGCTACCAGCTTTTAAGGTAGAGTTGAAAGTGGGTTGTCCTATAATGTTATTAAGAAACATTGCACCGAAAGATGGACTGTGTAATGGCACAAGATTGATGGTATCCAGGTGCGACACTCGCATAATTGAAGCTCGAATCTTAACTGGTGAGAAGTTTGGCAATTTGGCATTTATACCAAGGATATCATTGACTCCGTCTTCTGCAGAAATGCCTTTCCGAATGACAAGACGTCAATTTCCAGTTCGATTGGCATACGCTTTGACCATTAACAAATCTCAAGGACAATCTGTGAAATTTGTTGGGGTTGATTTGCGTACACCTGTTTTTAGTCATGGGCAACTATACGTGGCATTATCCAGATGCACATCTTTCGATCGTATAAGTATCCTCCTCCCTAATGATGAGCCAGATTCCACTACAAATATTGTTTACCCTGAAGTTTTGTTATGAAGACCTTTCAGAATTGTGGGAAAGAACAAATTTGAAGACATTATCAAACACATATTTTTGTAAAGTATATACATTTTGTAAAGCAGATGATAGCTATGACCCACTTTTTGTAAAGCTTTCTACCTATGTGGACTTTGTTGTATTTCAAATATTTTTGTGAAACCTTTTATTCCCCTATATTTTTGCATTTCCATAATAGCTAAGTTTGATTTAAGAGTGCTGACTTGATCTTTTACAATTGAGTTATTATTTTTGACATGTAAGTTGATTTATTACTTTGGACATGTAAGTTGTCACTACTTTGGACATGTCAGTTGTCACTACTTTGTATACACTTTTTAATTTTTTTTTCCTTTTTGTATAAAATTATGTTCTCTTTTATTGTCATGGGATGATGGAGATTTGCACCAAACTATTATATGGGCTCTCTTTACTCATCTTCTTTTTTCATTGAGAAAATTACAAATCAATGAGTTTTTAAATATTTTGTGAAGTTATCACCTATTTATAATTTTTCTTATTTAATTTACTCTTCTTACTATACATTTTCTTTCAAGTATTGATACTAGCAATACTTGATGGCTATTAGATGACTTTAAAATCTTTTTAATTTGACTATTTTGTAAAGCAACAACCAGATGAGTTACTGGAATTATTTTTTTTACCATTTATTGTTGGGATGCTATGGCATAGAGTTGATTTCTTCTTCATGATATGATGCATTTAGTTTTTCAATGCTTTCCGTATCTTGATTGGAAAATTATTTCAAAATATTTTATTTCCGTATCTTAATGTGAAAACAATTTCTAAAGACTACTATTTGCGAGGTTATGGTATTTATGTTCTGTGTATTATATAGATTTCAATCAGATATTTGTGGTTTGGGGTACTATGACACTCACCAATGTATTAGGTGTTAGCCACAAACTAATTGTAGGAGTGCTGACTTGAACTTTTATCAGGTGCTACAGACTCTACAAATTTTAATATGATACGTACAAATTACAACTACATTTTAATCTCAATATTATTTACACCGTGCCTTTAGGCACGGGCATACACTAGTATATATATATCATAGAAAATGAGGGAAATGTTAAATTTAATGAGATATAGGTTATGTTTGGCATTATTTTTTTTGGTTATTTTAGTTATAAAAAGATAAAATAGGCAAAAAAACTAATAAAATAAAATGTTATATTCAAACTATAATCATTTTTTTTTTCTTACAAAAGTCAAAAAAATGAAAAAGTCCATCCCAAATAAGACTTTTTAGCCTCGAGTTAAAACAATCAAAAGGCTAAAAAACCAACGCATATCCCAAACGAAAACGTAATCTTGTATGTGTCCTGAACAATTTATATATAATTGTTACTAATTTTTTTATTTTTAAAATTTTATATTCAATATAGATCTTATTTTAAATGTTTTAGAAAGATAATTCTAAAAATACAAAACTTGAGAGGCCCACACAACTTGCTTTTATTTATACCATATATTTAACTTTTTAAAATCATTTCAGAGTTAATGTATTTAGTAATTCATGTACAGTCTCAACTAAGAGGTCAAGAGGTTAATGCTTATCATATGTAAAAATTTATTATTTACTATTAGAGGGTTTAGGAGATCAATCCTTATCATATCTAAACTATTAGAGGAGATTTTTCTTATCATTAGCTCTTCCTTGTAATTCTCTTATAGTTGCTTACCCAAATTAATGTAATTATATTGATATTTGTAAATACTTTTCTAATTGAAAAATAAAATGAAATAAAAAATCTTTTTCTCATAACATTTTAATTTTATCTTTGTACATCTTTTGTAATTTCAAACATATCCCAATCTCTAATCTTAAACTCTCTCTCTCTTCTTCTATCCATCTTCCTCACTCCCTTCTCATTCAATTTTCCATTAGTTCCGCTACCCCAAATGAGGACCGCAGAGGGTCGGAGGAAGAAGCCACAGGTGACGACATTGGGCGGGGAAGGGATGAATTGGGGGTGTGACAGTGGCATGTAAAAGATTTATTTATTTATTTATTTGCATTTAAATTTTGTTCAGTGCCTTAATTATTTGAACAATCTCAAACTATTCGATGAACAATCGTCAAACAATCTCATTTTGTTCAAGAATTAGGAACAAATTGAATTTCGATTCTAATTTTTCAAATAACTAATATCTACATTAAAATCATACAAAATACAACCAAATAACTATTATAACAAATGTGAATCAATAGTATCCCACTTGCAAAGTTTTTTACTACATTATTGATTGAGAACATATCGTAAACAATATCTTATGATACTTCAAGAGTAAAGAATAATTAGATAAATAGTAAAAGTTTATTTATAGTAATCAATCAGATCAATACAATAGATAATCATTCCCTCTAACTATCATCATGAGTCATGACAAAAGATCATGACCAATACTATCATGAAGAAGATCATCTCCATCACCACAAAACACACTCTTTGCAAGAAACAATGGTGTACCCAACGGCAATAAAACAACTTATCCAAAAACAAAATCAGTGCAAGAAAACAGCAACAAGAGAGAACAACAGAGAAGAACAAATCAATGTCTCGGAGACCGGCAACGCAAAGCCGACACCGGCATCCATTGGAGGCGACGGAGCAATGGTCTGAGCCATGGCGGCCGATGCACAGAACAACATTGCCATTGCCATGGCAATAAGGATATGAATTGCAGAGCTGCCAAAATTTGCCATTTCTATGTTTTTGTTTTGAGGTGAAAACAGAGAAAAAGTTAAGAGATGAATGGATAGGCTTTGAAGTGTTTGAATAGTTTTTGGTTTGTGTTTTGGGACATAGGATGAGTCTCAATTTATAGAGGCCTTTTTGGTGTGTGAAACCTTCAAGTAGGTAACTTGCACGTTTTTTTTTGACTCTTGAATTTTCATTTGGAAAATTAGTTTAATCCCCCAAATTCTAATTGTAACAATAAGGTTGTTAAAATTCAATTCATGTTTCAATGCATGACTAGTTTAGTCGCTCACTGTTAAATACATTGACAAAAAATTTCATACAATGAATAAATTAGTTCAGCCTTTGTTCTAATTCCATTTGATATCTTAAAATACAATTAAAGTTAAGAGACCAAAATAAAAATTAGAAAAAGTTGGAGAGTAAATTATTATGTACGTGTTTGTTTGAGTTTAAAAAATATAAGTAATGTTAGAAATTTACATATTTATGTTTATAAATTCACTCATAATAATGTGACATAAGAGTTAAGTTTATTATAATTAAGTGTGTAACAAATAAAAAATTGACACATATCCTGCTACATTATTGTGGGTAGAACTGTAAGTATTTTTTTAAGATCTCAAACAATTTTCAAAAAATATATTCTTAAAATTTTAAAAATTATTTCCATTCCCCAAAAAAATATGTAAAAATTATAAAAACTAACCCAATCAAAATAATTTACTCTATTAAAATTTAAGAGAAATTACAATTCAATGTAAACTTTTGTGAATACTTTCAGATATGTGGTAAATTTTATAAACATTTAAACTTTTAAATTTTTTCATAAATTCATTATTTTTTTTAAAAAAAAATTACAGTATTGTAATTTTTTTCAATTTTTTTTTCTTTTTGTGTTTTGTTTTGTTAAAAAAAAAAAATCAATTCTAAAGATATGCCTTTTCTGTAAAGGCTTATGCGACCCAGAAAAGCAAAGCCAACAGGTTGGCCACGTGTTCACATCATGGGTTCCACAAACGGTTTTACTCACCTGAATACTTCCCATACAGCAAAGCACACAGCAAGAAAATGTTTATCTCCAATCATTTACTGCCACGTCATCATTCATTGGTTACGAACGACGTGTCTTCAGCTGATTAGTTGGTTTAGCTTCTTCCTGTACACCTAAACGCTGTTGATTTTCTCTGCAAACATTTCTGGTGCGCTTGCCAAATCACGTAGTAGCTATTTTGGCGTGACGTAAGTGCAATGGTGTCCATTGGATTGTGGAGAAGTTACTGGTTGGTCAGGGTCAGGGCAGTGGTAGAACATCTCTAACAGTGCGTTAAATATTTTATTAAAGTCTCATTTTAAGGAGTCATAACTTTAGTTTAAAAGTTAAGAATTTATTTAAAAAATTATTTTTTTTATATTTTTTAATAAAATATCAAAAAAATATTTCGAACATAAATTTTTTTACCTCATATTTTAGTTAAAAAAATATTAAAATAACTTGTTTCCAAACGAGACCTAAATCTGAGTAAAAAAATCAATTTGATATCAAGTGCTCTAATGGAGGTTTGTGAAGCTTCATTAGTACACCGATCGACCTAGCGGATGTTCGGCCGGTAGACCGATCAGTGTAAATTTTTTATAAATTTTTATCTTAAGATGGTCATCCAGAAAGTCGACTGGCAGATGTACAGCCGATCGACCGATCAATGTAAGTTTTTTATAAATTTTTTCCTTGAGGTGGTTATTCGGTGATAAAAATCTAACAATATTGAACTGTGATTTGATGAAAGGCACATTGGTCCTTAATTTGATAAAAAAAAAGTGAAATCCTAAATTTGATGAAATCATTAGAACCAAAAAATGAGCTATTTTTTATCAAATTTAAATTTGATAACAGATTTGAATAATCATTATAGATGATCTTACGTGCCACACTACATGTATTGTGATTGATAGAATAGATAAAATTATAATTTTGTATTAAATAATTAATAAATATGAAAAGATATAGGGTATGTTTGGTTTGAGTTCGGAAGATGAGTTTTAGAGATAAAAAGTACGAAAAGTTGTTTAGTTTGATTTTTGTAAAAGATGTTTTAAAAAATTATTTTGAGAGAGAGTTTTAGAAAAAGTGTTTGATTTGATGTGCATGAGAGAGATATTTGTTTGAAAAACTTATAAACCAAACAAGTTTTAATTAGGAAAATTTGTTTGGTTTGATTACTTTTAAAAACTTATTTGTAGAGAATTTTTTCTAAAAATTTTTGAGAAACA